CACACACACACACACACACACACACACACACACACACACACACACACTGTTTGTGTTGCAGAACAGGAGCTGGTGGTGGTGCATGTGTTCATATGATTAGCAGCTGCTTTCGTCAGGTCCCACAGTTACAGATGTTTGTTTCTTTTCAACATTTCCAGGTTTTAAACGTCATCACTCTATACAATTACCATTTATGTGTGTTTGTAGGAAGCAAGTTAATGTGGAATAAAGCTCATTATGTTGTTCTTAAGTTAAACCAAAAGTCATTTTATTCTTCATAAAAATGTAAATATGATAAACATAAAATCACTTCTATTTTTTATGTTGTGGCTGCCCACAGGCAGTGCATTAAAGAATAGTTTCCACCATCTTTATATGCAGTCAGTGAAAAACGGTAAAAACTCAGCTTATTTGTCAGTGATGTATTTATGAGCATCGTGAAGGCTTAGATTGTTTTAAGCACAATACTTTAGCGTGACTTTTATTATTCTTTAAAGTTTTACGAGTAAATCAGTTATACAACTTAAAGGATTTAATATTTCTATAACTGGTTGCCATAAAAGGTGGATGATCATTTAATTACTGTGTGTTATTGTCTGTTAGCAAAATATCTCATGACCCACTCAACTATTTTGAATGAAACTCAAAAAGTAATCATTGTTTGGACACCTATAGTTGATGCAAGCAATGCAAATGTCATTAAATCTAGTTTTTGATTTACTGTAAAGATGCAATGTATATTTTTGTTGTAATGGGCGTGTGTGTGTGAAAAGTTCCTGTAAATATATTCTCCCAGAAGCGTTTAACCTTTTGCGGTGTGTGAAGAAGTAAGATGATTTTATTTTGTATAAGTCTAACACGTTGTTTCCAAATGCCAACAGTTGCTGTAAAGCAGGGTCTGCAACTTTTACCATCAAAAGGCATTTCTGCCCCTTTGTTCACTAAATGTGCTACAACTGGGATTCTCAACTGGTGGCCCACATGGACCACTTTAAGTTTGTTGCAGGGGTGATTTTATAAAATTTAAAATATCTATTGATTTTTATTGGTATTTTTACACGTTTAAGATCAAATAAAAAATGAGATTCTTGTAAAGAAGGAAACAATAATATTGTTTTTGCCCAGTTTCTAAAAACTAAAACAATAAACTGCATTCTGATGTGATTTTTTTTTTTTATTGTAAAAAAAAAATTACGTGCCGGTATTTTACTTTGAAGAAATAAAGCATTAAGTGAAAGTGAGCATGTTCTACTCCTTGTAATGTTTCTAGTATTTGCAAAATAAAAGACAGTTAAACTGTTAAAACGAGCCCTTTTAGTTGTTGTAAGAACCAATAAAATTCAGTTTTAAGTTCGTTTTGGTCAAAGCTGGAAAGAGCCGCTGCAGAGGAACCAAAGAGCCACATGTGGCTCCAGAGCCGCAGGTTGCAGACCCCTGAACGAAATAATTGTGAGAATTTAACTTCCAGTCTTTATTGTTCTTGTTTTTCTCTAAAATAGTAATAAAAAATCACTTCAACCACTACGATGCCTTGATTGTCACGTTAATTGTTGGAGTCTAGCTTGTCATGGTTAAGGAAGAAAACATCTGGAACATCTGTGTGTATGCATTATTGCACGGAGCAGTAAGAGACGACAACGGTTGTGATAAATGTGTGTTTTCTGTTTATTCAGAGCGCAGCGGCAGCACCCAGTCCTGTGATGGGCAACATGCCCCCCAACGACGCCATGCCAGGTGGTCCCATGCCCCCAGGCTTCTTCCAGGTATGACCCACCCCCTTTAAGACCACTTCCACATTTGTTCTTAACTCATCACTGTCTCACATTCATCCATTTCTCTCCAATAATAAAAATGTCAAGTTTTTTTTTTTTTTAATCTTTTTCTTGCTTTTTATTTTCTTGTTGGCACGTTCACGTGGCCGATACCTGCCTCAAGTACTCATAAAAATACCCCGATACCTCTTTCATCCTCGGTAACGTGACTTCCTCTTCCACTTCATAATTAACCGAGGACAAATAATAAAAAATGTCCGTAGTCTAAAGATATTTTAATATAAACACAGTTGATCTTAAGATAACAGACTGCTGTTACATCGTCGTATGTTTAAGTACTAACTCATTAACTATGTATTGGTACTATGTATGGGCAAGTTCCCAAACTGAAGTACTTTTTCTCAGTGTGAAAAGTAGTATTGGGACACCACTAAATCAGGACTGAAGTAGTCAGAGAAGTAATCTTAAAACCTGTATTTTAATATATTGTGTATATAATCACTTCTAACCATGTTCAAACACAACATTCACGTCATTGAATAAACTGATAAATTGGCTTTCCTGCTGTTTTTTTATTTTAACGCTGCAGCTAAGTCTGTTGTAATTCTTGTACAACGAACCTTTCTGCCCAATTTTGAAACTTATAAGCAGAAATATTCCTTGTTTTTATCTTAAAGCTTAATTTACATCATTGTGTTGGTTTGGTTGAGACACCAAGGTTGTTGTAAAAAAAATCAGACTTTATTCAATTGTTTTTCATTCAGACATTAAAAATTTACATTTTATAAGACGTATTTGTAAACTTTTCTGTAGAAAAAAAAAAACGTTTTCTAAGTATGAAAATGTTAAAAATCAGTCTCAAAGAAGTGACTGACACCTGAAAAAGTACAAAGACTCGAGTAGAGTTTGTGCAGGTGACGCTGCAGGTGCAGTTTTTCTCCTCTGCATTTGTTTAAACATTGTTTATTAAACGTGATGTTCTCATCCATCCCAGCCTCAGACGCTGTTCATTCGTCTGTGCCTCGGCTCTCTGAGCATCCATCCGTTCTTCCACTCGTCCCATCTCCGTTTCCGTCCGTCTCTGACCCGTCCTCGCTCTGTAGAGGGAAAGGTTTGAGCGTCGGGAGACGGCTCTCTGAAGAGTCGCGAGCCTCCCGAACACGAGTGCATGCAGGCTTGTACACTCACAAACAAAAACCCGTACCTTCACATCCTCTGTGATGGACAGCAGTGGCATTTGGCGGGAGGCACGATAAGGTGGTGGCAAAGAGTGGGCGCAAAAAAAGCGAGTGACACAGAGAGAGAGAGAGAGAGGGGTGGATAGAGAGGAAGAAGAGATGGAAATGCAAAAGATTTCTTCCACAAGGATTGTTGCAGTGTGTGTTTCTGCTGCTGCCTACCACCACATTGTTTGCTGGTTGAGCAATGCAGTGGGGTGGGGGGTGGGGGGGTATTAGTGAATGTCTGACTGTGAATAAGAAGGAGGGTTGGGGGGTGGGAGGGGGTGACGAGAGGCATTGGAAGTGCTATTTTTAACATTGGTGGGGGAGTGAGACTGAGCAAAGGTTTGTGTGTTTTTGTGTGGCTGTTGTGTTCAGGAGAGCTCGGAACAGAAAGCTTCGCTGCTTCACTGTGTAATGTGGTTGTTTATGCTCGTTAACGTGTCGTCTCTTAGACAGTCGGTTTGTCATCCTTAACTCCTTAATATATAAAATAAATGATCATTTGAAAGTTAAATGTCTTTGGAATGCAAGCAAAACACTTTTCTCTAGAATCCGTGATAAAACCAAAACAAGTCCCGCTTTTTTTATGTGCGTATCATGGCATCTGGTCGTTATCGACTTCTAAATGTTGTTCAAGTCTAATCTCAAGTGTACAAAAATACACAACAGATTCTACCACGCTAATATTAATTACAGAAATGAAACCCAAGCTGAAATGGAAAAGACGTGTGAGAATCTTAAGTCCATCCTTGAAGCTTTCATAGGATTGATGGAGAGAAAGTAGCAGCCAGGTGGAGCTGCTCAAATGAACTTGATGACTTCATCTGAGTGACCACAGGAGTGTTGTTATTGTTGACATCTGGAGCATACAGCTGTGTGTTTACGCAATGTCAAGGAGGAAAGACAACAGCACTGACATTAAAGAAGCAATTGTTGCTAGCATCAGATTGGTCAGAAGATCGTTTCCACTCCATTTGTAGTTCCTTCATTCCTCAGAGGAAAAAAAAACAGTTATCTAAAGTGTAACTTGATATATTTTAATTTTCCTCTTAGGTGCATGTCCACTGTGAGAGACAATCTAAAAAAAAATAAAAATCCGGAAATCACAATGTATGATTTTTAAAATAATTTATTTGTGTGTTACTGCTGTAAATAAGTATTTGAACACCTTCCAATCAGTTCTAGCCCTCAAAGACCTGTTAGTCCACCTCCACTCCACTGATTATTCTAAATTAGAAGCACCTGTTTGAGGTCGGTAGCTGCATAAAGACACCGGTCCACCCCACACAATCAGTAAGACTCCAACTACTAACATGGCTAAGACCAAAGAGCTGTCCAAAGACACCAGAGACAAATTGTAGACCTTCACAAAGCTGGAAAGGGCTACGAGGCAATTGCTAAGCAGCTTGGTGAAAAAAGATCAACTGTTGAAGCAATTATTAGAAAATGGAAGAAGCTAAACATGACTGTCGATCTCCCTCGGACTGGGCTCCATGCAAGATCTCACCTCGTGGCGTATCAATGATCCTAAGAAAGGTGAGGAATCAGCCCAGAACTACACGAGAGGAGCTGGTCAATGACCTGAAGAGAGCTGGCACCACTGTTTCCATGGTTACTGTGGATAATACACTAAGACGTCATAGTTTCAAATCATGCATGGCATGGAAGGTTCCCCTGGTTAAATCAGCACACGTCCAGGCCCGTCTGAAGTTTGACCATGACCTTTTGGATGATCCAGAGGAGTCATGGGAGAAAGTTCTGTGGTCAGATGAGACCAAAATATAACTTTTTGGTCATAAATCCACTCGCCGTGTTTGGAGGACGAAGAATGATGAGTACCATCCCAAAAACACCATCCCAACTGTGAAGCATGGAGGTGGAAGCATCATGCTTTGGGGGTGTTTTTCTGCACATGGCACAGGACGACTGCACTGTATTAAGGAGAGGATGACCGGGGCCATGTATTGAGAGATTTTGGGGAACAACCTCCTTCCATAAGTCAGAGCATTGAAGATGAGTCATGGCTGGGTCTTCCAACATGACAATGACCCGAAGCACACAGCCAGGAGAACCAAGGAGTGGCTCTGTAAGAAGCATATCAAGGTTCTGGAGTGGTCTAGCCAGTCTCCAGACCTAAACCCTATAGAAAATCTTTGGAGGGAGCTCAAACTTCGTGTTTCTCAGTGACAGCCCAGAAACTGATCTAGAGAAGATCTGTGTGGAGGAATGGACCAAAATCTCTGCTGCGGTGTGAGCAGACCTGGTGACAAACTACAGGAAACATTTGAGCTCTGTAACTGCAAACAAATATACTGTACCAAATATTAACATTGATTTTCACAGGTGTTCAAATACTTATTTGCAGCAGTAATACACAAACAAATTATTAAAAAATCTTAGATTGTGATTTCCGGATTTTTTATTTTTTTTTTAAAGATTATGTCTCTCACAGTGGACATGCACCTAAGATGAAAATGTCAGACCCCTGTATATATATGTATATATGTATATATATATATATATATATATATATATATATATATATATATATATGTATATATATATATATGTATATGTGTGTGTGTGTGTGTGTGTGCAATTAAATATTGTCAAATCAATATTTAGAATAGTTCCCAGTCTTCCCAGGAGTGGATTCCCTTAGCAAATTCACCCTAACATCAGACAATGCTCAAAGAACTGGCGACAAACCCAACAGCTCCAATGCCAACTCTACAGTTAGCAGGTTAAAGGTTAAAGTTCATGACAAGACAATTGGACAAAGACTGAACAAGTGTTCCTTGTTGAAGGGTTGCCAGCAGAAAACCACTTTTCTTTGCAACAACTAAAGCAGCTTGAGTTATGTAGAATTTATATCTGAATGAGCCTTAAGACTTCAGGAAAGTCCTTTGGATGGATGACACCAAAGTGGAGATGTTTACCCATAATGCTCGTCAGCATGTTTGGTGAAAGCTACAAGCTCGTAGGTTGCAGTTTTTCTGATTAGTAGAAACTTGCACAAACATCTTGTGCCAGCTGGTTAGGATGGTGGTGGAGGCTAATGGTTTGGAAATCTGTTCAGCTGTGGGACCTGGACATCTTGCAGTCAATGAGTGGACCACAAACTCCTTTGTAGACCGAAATATTCTAGAATGAGATGTGAGGCCATCAGCTGAAATCAACAACTAAACAGCTGAAAAACTAAAGAGTCAAAGTCCAGACCTGAACTTGATTGAAATACTTTGGTGAAAGAGCTGAGAGGAAACCAACGTCTGCAAACCTCAATGAACCTAAAGCAATGTTCTAAAGAAGAGTGGGCCAAACCATAGCAGAGACCATTTGTGTTTTTTGTAACTTTAGGTTAGCTTTGGATAAGATTACTTCCAATTTAGAGTATTTGATTTTTAAAGACTTCAGCACGTTAATTAGATCCATGATTAGCTTCTGGCTTTGTTTAATCAAATATAAATCAGATAACAGAGAATCCTCTATATTTACTATATTTGTATTTATTCTCGTTTACTTTGTACAGTTTTCGTAGATTCTGTTTTTCTGTTGAGTACAAGCCTCGTGTGTTCATGTAATCACTGCAGACATAAAGGAAAGTACACACAGAATGAACTGAATTCATTTCAGTCTGTTTATGTAAAGTAGTAGAAACATTCAGTATCTTAAAGCTTTGCTTTATTATTATTTTTTATCTATTATATTTTATGAATTTGTTTAGTATGCAGTCACTGCGAAGGGTAAAACACACGTTAAGGTAATTTAAGAACATTTCTTTGTCATTTAACAGCTGCAAATGTTGGTAATACAGTTCTGCAAGAGAGAAAAACCATGTTTTTTGTTAGTTTTTTAGTTTAGGTCCAGATGACCTGACTGAACATTGTGGGATTTTATACCTGGATTATTGAGCATGAACTTTGTTGTTTTTTAGTTAAATCATCCTGTCAGCCTTCACGACTCTCAGCTCTGTAGTGACGGGGTGTCCACGTTTTGTTCATTTTTGTCCTCCAGAGAACAGAGTGAACAGTCTTCTGCAGTCCATCTGTAGACTTTTAAGAGGCGCATCACTGAGCGGCCTCGGCACAGAATGGAGACCACTGAGGACTTTTGGAGTTTGTTGTAACAGTTTGAACAAACCTGTTTTGCTACTGATACAAGGTCAAGTTAAAATCACAAAGCGTTGTGTTTTTGAGCAATACATCAACCGTTTTGTTTGTATGACTAACTTTTGCAAACAGAAAGATGTTCTGTATGACGCACTGAAAACTGCAACAGATTCATAAACTTAAAGGTGCATAGCAGAAAATGAATGATTGCTGCCATAAACAAATAATCCTTTGTACTTATCCTCATTCGTTATTACTCTTTTGATAAGCTGATAAATACAGTAGGTCCATCATGTCGTTTTATTTAATTTTATTCAAAATCCTACTTCTAACCTACAAAGCCCTCAACAACCTAGCTCCATCTTATATTACAAATCTTATTGTTCCATATTTTCCTAACAGAGCACTTCACTCTCAGACTGCAGGTTTACTTGCGGTTCCTAGAGTTTCCAAGAGCAGAATGGAAGGAAGATCTTTCAGTTGTCAGGCTCCTCTCTTGTGGAACCAACGTCCAGTTTCTGCCCATGAGGCTGACACATTGTCCAGTTTTAAGACTGGTTTCCTTTTTGATAAATCCTATAGTTAGGGTTGTCTTGTTATGATGCCATAGGCTTAGACTACCGGAGGACAAATTGACCTCATTTCCTTAAATGAATTGTTAAAATTGAATAGTTTTCATTTGATATATTTCTATCTTAACATGTGATTCTCGACCTGCCATTGTGTATCTGTTCCTCTTAAACCCAGCCAGTCGAAGCAGATGGACGCTTGTCCTGAGCCTGGTTCTGCTAAAGGTTTCTTCCTCATGAGTGAGTTTTTCTTTCCACCGTCGCCTTCATGCTCAAGATGAGAGTTCTGTGATGGAGTTAAACTCAAAGCTGCTCCTCAGATAAATAATGTTCAATTATTAGTTTATATATGAATGTTTGTGTTCAGTGCCCTGAGACGACTTCTGTTGTGACTTGGAACTACATAAATAAACTGAATTGAATTGACTTGAATTTATCTGCGGTTTTAGCAGCACAGGAAATAGCGGACACATCAGTCTTCATCTGTCCTGACACGTCCACTGATCAGCCACAATATTTACATTTTCTGACAAGTGAATAAATTTGAACATCTCATTACAATATAATGTCCTGCTGGTCACCTTTGGTTCTGGCACGCACCCAACAGATCTACTGCCAAACATTTTGTCAGACACTACTGGATCCCCCTCCGAAGGTCCTGCAACCATGCCCCAAAACCAGTGGTGGGTGATTTAGTGAGCAGGGGGGACATGGACAGCATTCAAACGTTTTATCTGCGTGATTGTAATATCACAGATGATCAGTGTTGATTCAATACAGGAAGTGAATCCCTGTAACACCAAATATTTAAAAGCAGCTTCAACATGTTGCTAGTTGTGATAAATGACTGTGACTCACTCAGACGGCGTGGGGCAATAATTGAAATTGGCTTAGTGATGAAGTGATTGTAATGATTAATCAATTATCTAAAATAGCTGCTTTATTTCCTGTCGGTCAGCTCATTGGTTAATTGACCAGCCTCGGCTCGTCTCTTGTGCTCACACATTACTGAACAGGCACTGATATTAGGAAGGCGAACGTTGCCGTTTTGATTTTGAAGCTGCACATCGTTTGACGTTTCTTTCTGTTCCTCTCAAGCTGACGAGATGTTACTGTGGTTTATTAGGTCACATCGTAAAGCTCTTGGAGTCAAAGTGCCGTCGTCTTCAGATGCCTTGGAGGGTTAGGTGGAAATTTCCATCAGCTGTTTGTAAATCGGCCGCTCTGTTTTCTTGAATGAAGTGAAAATGGAAGTGGCTGCTGTGACTTATTCATCAGCGCGTCCTAGTGTCATGCAGGGAAAGTGCGCTGTGAGATTTTCAGTCATTTGGAGAAATGAAGCACAGAAGTTCAGTTTGGTTGTGAAGGAAGTTCCCACTTTGTCTTTGGCTTGTTTTTGTCCTGGTTCAAAGTTGCCACCAGTTCTTGTCCAGTTGCATCCAGTCTTTGATAATACTGCCCTCAAGTGGTTCAGACTGGAACAAGCCCTCATGAGATCTGCTGGTCCCAGCAGCACCTCTGATGGTTTGATGGTCGTCTCCTGGTGCGTTATGCTCTGTATCATACCGAATCATTTGTTTGCACCACAGGGACAAGAAACGTTACGTGTTGGGCTATCATTTTGGTTTTGTTGCCTAATATTTTGCCCAGCCTGTCCACTTTCTTCCACTTTCCACTTCACATTTTCCTTCTCAAACTAAACACCCCCTCCAGACTCCCCCCAGCATCATCTTCCTCTTTCTTATGACTGATCGGGTTCATCCTCCAGGTGTAAACCCACATTTTGCCCCCCTCCCCTCTCTGATGTCACTCTTCTTTCTTAAAGGGACCGCCCGGCTCTCAGCAGTCCCCTCATGCACAGCCCCCCCCACACAACCCCAGCAACCCCATGATGGGACCCCATGGTCAGGTAAGATGCAACAAGAAAAGAATAAGAAAAACACCCTCTTTCAAACACTGCTCTGTTTTCCTCCCCCCCCCCCCCCCAAATTCACCACTGTTTCTCCTTTTACCCATAAGCCTTTGCAGGCTCTAGTTTAGTTCTGGCTCCCCCCCTCTAGATGTCAGGCCCGCTCCAGTTGGGAGCTCCTTTTATGAAAGCTGAGCGTCCGGGGGCAGCGGAGCCTGCTCCTCTCAGCCCAGGACCAGCTTGTCCCTGTGCGGGATGAATAATTCACTCCCCTGCCCCTCCCCCGGAGCAGCTTGTAGGGGGTTGCACACTTATCTTCTCCTTACACACACACACACACACACACACACACACACACACACACACACACACCCCTCCCCCTTGCTTACTTGTTCTTGCATCTTATAAATAAAACAGAGGACAAGCAAAATAAATGTGTGGTAGATCCACCGATCTGGTCTCGTTTTCTAAAATAAATGAAAACTTTTCACTCGCTAAGACCGAACGGAAACGTGCACGCGTCTACGTGCATTGAGCCTCGAGAAGTTTTGACCTCGGTCTTTGTGTTTCAGCACTTATCCAGAACCGTAGCCACAGATGCCACTGTGGAGGTAAAGCGAGGCTTCGCCCATTAACTACGGCAGCTCAGCTCTTCATTCTCGTGGTTTCCAGTTTCTGTCTCGTGTGTGAGAGAGTGGGGACAAGCTTCCGCTAAGGCTTTGAACCGTGTTGTTGGCCTTAGGTGTATCCGACTAAGCCAGGCAGACCACAGGCCGGGTCAGCTTACACCACAGGCTGTGTAAGCGCTGCCTGTAGACACACAGGAATACATGCTTTGAGTGCATCTTTCCAATATAAAAGGGGTTAATGCTTATACGACACAGCTTGCATGAGTGTATTTTTGGTTCCTTGGCAGAAATGTTGCTGAATTAGCAGATTTTAGATGTCATCTTCCATTCTCCAACCACACTGTGTCCATCTGCGTGTCCACAGTGCAACCTCAGAGTGCTTCTGGATTTATCAATAATAGAAATGTCATCTTTTCTGTCCCCATCACCCCCTGTGCTGTTCTCTCTCTCTTTCCTCTACTTCCTCTGCAGCCTTTCATGTCTCCGCGGTATCCAGGTGGACCGCGCCCCACACTCCGAATGCCAAATCAGGTAATCAATATTTGGTTAAAGTTGACACCTGTTAGAAAACTCAGAAATAATCACTCAGGAGTCTAGGATTGAAGTTTGACCAAATGTGTTAAAAGATGCAAGGAGAGAGAGTTTGCCCTCACTTCAAAATGAACAAAAACGACTCGACAGGGACGTCCTTACAGCAACACGAGCACACCCTCCCTAACATCAACACACTGACACAATTATTCATACATTCCAAGCTGAAGAAGGGTTTCCAGCTGGCAGAGACTCGTCATGGTTTCAGCGTGTCGAGCTGAAGAGTTTCATTCAGAATCAGAATAAGCTTTATCATCATTGCACCGAGATACAGCGAGAATATGTTCGTACAGTCGTCCGAAAGATGGGCGGAGTGCACGTTGCTGCTGCTACAGGAGCGCAGCCTCTTATTCTCTTTCAGAATACTTTTTAGATAGAAAAAGGTAAAAGCCATGAGGATGGATAGTGGTATTACAAAAAAAATCTCTTCACATCGTGTCCTGTCAGGACACGATTTGAGACGTCAGAAAACTCTACCAGTAAGCACATGAAGCTTTTCCAGATAGCACCATAGTCCTGATAAGATGTTGGTCAGCCGGCAGTTCTGATAAGCCTGCACAGAAGTTCTCGGGGGGGGGGACAAAGCTTTTTACTTAGTTTACCCATGTCCCAGGAGTAATTTGATACGTCGGCCTGTTTTCGAGGCCAAACGGGGTCAGATTCAGATAAGCCACAATTGTTGATTTTCTTCAGGCAGACTTTTTTCTTGTCAGCCTCGAGTCCTGCTGGTACTTTTGATCCAAAATGGCCAGATCAGTGGGCATTTCACTGATCCGTGCTATGAGCCTCATCCAAGGTCGTCTCCAACATGTTTAACAAATGGTTAAATGTGAAGGAAAGTCTCCTTCTTTCGGCTGCTCCCTTCTTCAGTGGTCGCCACAGCGATCTAACTCGCACGAAGACTTGTCGATCGCTTTTACTTCCTGATGCAACCACAGACCACCTGTTGGGGTTGGGGGCCTTGCTCAAGAGCCCAGAGTGGGGCGAATGATGGTGGAGGCAGGTGTGGGTGCTTCACCTCCACCCACATTTTGATGTCTGTTCTGGGGCTTGAACTGGAGACCTTCCAACCTTCTTTAACCTCTGTGCCACCACTGAAGGAAAGTAAACCGATAAAATGCTGTGACTTCAGTGAGATAACTTACCATGGCGGGGCGTTCATCGCCGGCGGGGTTCAGCGTGAGTGAAGAGGCAGCGTGAGCTCCGCCTTTAGCTTTTTAATTGTGTGCAGTTCAGTTCAGTAGCCGGGGCGCTCGGTTCTGTTGACAGGGCGTGGCGCCCTGCTTGTTTAATGGTAGGGGAAACACTGGACTTGGTACGAAGTTTATCACAGTAGAAAGACGTTGACATATATTTTTCAGTCACACTTGTAAGAAGCTGCGTTGCCAACATTAAGCATTTATTTAGAGTTGTCTCGTTTTGTTTCTTCTCAGCCTCCTGGGGGAATCCCAGGGTCTCAGCCTCTCCTGCCAAACAGTTTGGACCCAACAAGACCGCAAGGTAAGCTCCTGAGACCGATCACCTCCTTTAGTAGACGCTGATATTGTTTGAGGAGATTTTAGTCACAGATTACAGAACAGCTGGTTTGAAGGTAAAACTACTGGGATTAAGGAGAAGCATCAACTGTGGCATCATCATCTTAATTCCCCACTTTTACAAGTCAAGACGTATAGCTTTAAACAAACGTGTCTAACTCTTGTGCTTTATTTTTGCAGGACATCCTAACATGGGTGGACCAATGAGAATGAACCCTCCCAGAGGAATGGCCATGGGCCCACAGGTACACTGTACACAGAATATACTATTGGCTTCATGAATGGGAGTTTTAGCTGCTTTTCTGTTGCCATGGTAACCTCTGTGGGACCATATTCAGTTGATTGTAGTCCTCTAAATAAAATTTAAAAAAATGCTTTTGTCTAACTTTGCAATCCACATTCCGGTCTATAATAGTTTTGTTTTTTAATCTCACGTCTCTCAGAACTACGGTGGCATGAGGCCTCCTCCGAACTCCATGGGCGGTCCCATGCCAGGAATGAACATGTAAGTCCAGTAAATAGTTTGTCCCTTTAACTCCCGAATCTTTAGTTCTCCTTTTCTTGTCGTCTTGTCTACATTTCCAGATGTTTGATTTTCTTTATTCTGAAAGGCCAAATAAGTTGCAGGTTGTGTTTTTAATGCATTTTTACTTCGAATTTAGGAGCTTGAATATTATTCCAACAAACATTTATGTAACTAATAAAATGTGATGACTGCCATGGTCAAGGCAGCCATTTATTAGTTTTGAAGTAATCGATGCCGTCTTCAAATTGTTGAATGCAGTTCCAGTTCTTTTTCTCTTTTATTCTTGTCCTACTCTCACCCCCTCTTTTCCTCAGGGGTCCTGGAGGAAGGGGACCTTGGCCAGGACCTAATGCAAACTCTGTGAGTCAGAAAGCTTTGCACGTGCACACTGAATACACGTGGTGGAAACACTTTTCTGTGACAACACACCAACAAACATCAAACGTTACGCTTTGGGTTGTAGCTTTATTTCTGTAGTAATTAATTGAAAATGTAATCTAAAGGTTTAGCAGAAGTTTGGATGATTACTGTATTTTTCGGACTATACGTCGCTCTGGAGTGAAGGTCGCATCAGTCAAAAAATGCCCCATGATGAGGAAAAACTCATATACAAGTCGCTTCAGAGTATAAGTCGCATTCATTATGCATCGCTGCTGACCCCTTGCACCCGGGAAACGTGGGCCGGTCTTCATCCTTGCGGCACGGCACAGTTGGGTCCCACTGAGAACAGTCCGTCCCGGTCGGCAGTCGTGCCGGGGACGAGGGGGCACTGTCTCTCCTGCGCCGGAGGGGGAGGAAGGGCGCAGCAAGTCACGTGGTCCGCAGCCCCGGGAAGCATGAGGTGCAGGCGGAGGGACGCGGCCGTGAGCTCTACAGCGTCCCCGGACCCTTCCATGCCAACCGAGAACCGGTCGTGGTGCACCGCCGCTGAGGAAATGGCCCGGCGGGATCCAGGCAGACGAAGGGAAGGTCCCCCACAAGGGGGGATCCTCCGCTGCTGAGCAGCCGTCCCTTCCGCCGGGTTTAATCCCCCGGGCAGACTACGCAGACCCCACCCGTTTACCTCTCAACGGATTCTCGTCCTCTTGAACTCGAGTTCTTCATCGCAGTTAGAGTAACCTCTGCTTTTCACCAGTCCCTCACAAGTTTCTCACTCACTCCAAACTTTCCTTCTGCTGCTCGATTACTGTATTTTATTACCTGCACTTTGTAATCTGCAGAAAAGGATGGTCTTTTTTTGTGGGGGCATTTTACTTGTGTTGAGTCTTTCTCAGTTGTCTCTAAGTGAATGTTTGTTTTTTGGTTTTGATTTTTTTTATGGGGTGGGGGTTAACGGTAGAGGAACAACCTAAAGTTGTCAAAAGCCTAGCCGGCCCTCTCGTGGCTGCAAATGGTAATGTTTACTCTTTGGTCACTATAAATGAACATTTAGCGTGTCAGTCAAAAATTGCATCATGAATGGGGATTAAAAACATATAAGTTGTTTTGGACTATACGTCACAGGACTGACCAAACTATGAAAAAAAGAGCGACTTATAATCCATAAAATACGGTAGTTGTGTTTTTAAAGTTATCGTAAAGATTGGGTCTGTTGTGCCCCGTTACTGGATTTTAAAAGTTGTCTCCACTGTGACTCACTGGCTTCTCTGTGACCCTGTTTGCTCCTCTCCCCTGCAGATAGCCTACTCCTCTTCATCTCCAGGAAACTACGTGGTGAGTTCAAATGGATTAAAAAAACATGACCACTTTTCACAGTGCGCAGTGCATGCAATTTTAAACCTTCATTTGTCTGTTTCCAGGGTCCCCCTGGTGGAGGAGGTCCACCTGGAACTCCCATCATGCCCAGCCCAGGTGGTGCGTCACCTCTGTCCCCAGCATTAACACTTGTCTTGTGTCTTTTTTAGTTTTGTCCTCACTAAACAAGCTTGACTGTGTCCCTTCACCAACCAAGTGCCGTCTGAGTGTTCACATTATTTTATTTAGTTTTCCATTTCTGTCTTTCATTAGTCTTGACTGATCGCTCTGATTTCTTCATGTTAACTAACTTTTTTTTTTTTGGTTAGATTCAACTAACTCCAGTGAAAACATCTACACAATGATGAACCCCATTGGACCAGGAGGCAATAGACCCAATGTGAGTGTTTCTGTGATTTAACAAGATTTTTGACACTTTCTTTTTTTGTAACCTGCACTTTAAACTTCAGCTTCCTCCACTGCAGACTGATTCTTGGGTAAATTAGTAGTAATAAGTTGCACAGTCAGAATATTATCCATCTGTAACAGGGTTATAAGTCCTGTACATCAAACATTAGATCAACCTAATGCTTACACTTCATAAGAACTGAGCAGGAACTACCCAGGGAGGATGAATTAAATAAGCTCAGCTTGTCCCCAAGATGAAAAATTCACAATTATGTCTCAGAGTTTAAAGAATAAGAATATTGTTAGAGTCATTCCTAATGCCTGCCCCACATCCTGTCTCCAGTTTCCTATGGGACCGGGGCCTGACGGGCCCATGGGAGCTATGGGCGCAATGGAACCGCACCACATGAATGGATCACTAGGTGGGTTTAAACACAGTGGGATATCACTGATGGCAGTAATGACGTCTTTCTTCTGGGTTCAACTCAATTTAACCTTTTCCTTTCTCAGGGTCTGGGGATATGGACGGGTTGCCAAAGGTCAGTGGATGTCAAAGTTTTTAGAAATATTCCTTAGATTTACTTTTCTGCATCGTTGATAAGAATAGGAGGTCATTTATCAATTTGTCTTCCCCCCCCCCCCCCCCCAGAGCTCTCCTAACAACATGGGAGGCATGAACAATCCTCCTGGAACGCCACGAGACGACGGGGAAATGGGCGGCAACTTCTTGAACCCATTCCAAAGTGAAAGTGTGAGTAGAGTTTGTTGCTGACATCACAACCCCGACCGTTCCCCTGCTGTCCTGACATGAACCAGTGGAAGAATGCAAGCAGAGGAGGGGCTTGTCATTTTTCAAGAATAATCTCAGACTTAATTTAATATTTTTTGAAAATAAAATGTGTTTTGTCCCCGTTTTCATTATTAATCCACAAACTTTAGATGTGTTGGGTAATCTGGACAAGTACCGTAATTTCTAGTCTATAAGACGCTACTTTTTTCACACTCTTTGAATCCTGAGCCTTATACAATGCTGCAGCTAGATTATGGGTTAGTTTCTTTTTTTACGAGCTGACGCGCTTCCTGCCGCCAAAAACATTTAGCATAGTCACACCCGGGTGCTCACAGAGCTGCCCAATACACGTCTCTCTTGAGGGGTGGGTCCTCGTGACTCAATAAGACTACCTGCAGCGGCTGGAAAAAAAATCTGGCCAATGAAATACCAAACAGGTCACAGTCAAATCAATAAAACGAGGAGGGGGCACTCCCCTGCATGTGCAGAGCATATGAGGGGACTCAACTGCATGTGAAGAGCATATGAGGGGGATTCCCCAGCATGTGCAGAGCATGTGAGGGGGATTCCCCTGCATGTGCAGAGCATATGAGGGGGACTCCCCTGCATGTGCAGAGCATGTTAGGGGGATTCCCCTGCATGTGCAGAGCATGTGAGGGGGATTCCCCTGCATGTGCAGAGCATGTGAGGGGGACTCCCCTGCATGTGCAGAGCATGTGAGGGGGACTCAACTGCATGTGAAGAGCATATGAGGGGGATTCCCCTGCATGTGCAGAGCATGTGAGGGGGATTCCCCTGCATGTGCAGAGCATGTGAGGGGGACTCCCCTGCATGTGCAGAGTATGTGAGGGGGACTCCCCTGCATGTGCAGAGCATGTGAGGGGGATTCCCCTGCATGTGCAGAGCATGTGAGGGGGACTCAACTGCATGTGAAGAGCATATGAGGGGGATTCCCCTGCATGTGCAGAGCATGTGAGGGGGATTCCCCTGCATGTGCAGAGCATGTGAGGGGGATTCCCCTGCATGTGCAGAACATGTGAGGGGGATT